AGCCTTCATGCATTAGATCTTGAAGAGGAATTTCCATAGGTTTTTGAGTTGTTATTTTTTTAATAGCTTTGAGGAAGCCTTCTGAAGCTTCTCCTGAGATTCTTTTGAAATGTTTCCTTCTTCTGTTTCGTTTTCCCTCTAGCTGAGCTGGCAATGCTCTCCTCAAGCTACAGGATTTCAGTTTGTATGCTGTTAGAATTTGAACGTTGTTTTCCCAAGTTAGTGACTTAAGCCAAGCTCATGCGGATGAGCATGTTTAAACTGAAAGGAGAGCCACACGGGGTGTGGGGAAGTGGGAAAGCTGTGCCAGTGTTGTCTGTATGTCAGAGGCTTTCCACCTGACCCTAACTGTGTTTACTTGGAAAACTAAAGGCCTTTTTTTTCCTCCTAGGTGAAGAATGTCATATACCACGCTGTTAAAGATGCAGTTGGGATACTGAGAGCGAATGAATCCAGCCTTAGCAGACCATAAAGTAGAAAGCCTTAACCACACACTATGAAACAGAAGCGTTGGCAGCTGTTTTAACTACTCAGTCAGGACCTCTGTGGACTTTGAGATTATATGAATGTTACCTCAGCTTCCTTTCAGCAGTACCAGAGGATCGTGGTACTATGTTCTGTGTGTTCTTCCAATGTTTACAAACCTGATATGTATATGTAGTAATATGTATGGACTGTGGCATACTGTGAATGCTCAGTTGCAATAGAACTTTATACGGAGTTGCTCTCCAATCTGTACAAAATACCTCCTATAGAACTGTCGGAAACTATTCCAAATTACTCATTTGAAAAATATTACTCAAGATGTTGTAAAGCTCCAATTTTTAAAATTTATTTTGGGGTGGGAGGAAGTATGGAGTCACCCAGTTTAATAACCAATTTACATAAAAACAAGAATGCAGTTCTGGAATTTCACATTAACATAGAACTAGCATTTAAAAGTAGCTTTAAGCTATTGTATAGTAACATAGAGATGGGGGTTAACCATCTTTAGGTAAATGTATTTAAATTTCTAAATGTTAAAAGAAACTTTTAATCAAATGTCTTCTGTTTGAAACTGCTCTTTAATTTGAACTGATGTATGATTCTCTGGTTTTTAACACTGAATGGTCTACATAAAAATTCTTCTATTTCAGATATTGTTCCTTGCCTGGCTTCTTCAGTTGACTCTTTAAAATTTAAATAATTTGATGCAGCGCTTTGAAATGCAAAAGAAAGTTGTGTATCATGCACTGTTCATACTGGTTTTTAAAGCGTCTGAAGGCGCAGGATGTTGAATTTAGTGACAGACCCAATTATAGCTTTTTTCAGTTAATGAAACTGCGACATAGCTCGACCAGTGTGTCTCAGCCAGTGGCGCACTGTGGTCTGTATCAGATGAGTTTCACAGTCTCAGCCTCACGTGGCACACCGGTTGCTCCAAAATTAGACTGAGAACACTAAAAAACTTAAAATAAGCAGAGAGGGGTTGAGAGTGGATAAGTACATCTCTCATCTAACAAGGTAAGCCAAGATAAAATGAACCTTTCTGTTCTTCAGTGTCCTTTCCAGCACGGAAATGTTGGGAAGATCCAGGCAAGAGGGGAGCCTCCTAGTTAGCCACAAGTCACTTGTCTGAACTTTTATCAATTTGTTGCATAAACTCTGTGCAAATTCCCCTTCCTGTAGACTTCACCTGCCACTTTGAGTCTGTCTTGGGCGATGGTTTGTTGGTTTTTTTTTCCAGAGAAACTTCCTCTTAACTGTCTTGCTCTCTGAAGCGGAGCTCAGACTGCAGTCACTTGCAGGGAGTCGGAGTCTCTTAATCAAGCTAGAATAAAGTGGGCTCTGCCTGGAGAGGGTTGTTTTACAAGGGCGTGTAGTGATAGGACCAAGGGGCAACGGATTTAAACTGAAAGAGGGCAGATTTTGTTTAGATATAGGGAAGAAATTCTTCACTCTGAGGGTGGTGAGGCACTGGAACAGGTTTCCCAGAGAAGTTGTGGCTGCCCCATCCCTGGAAGTGTTCAAGGCCAGGTTGTATGTGGCTTTGAGCAACCTCGTCCAGTGGAAGGTGTTCCTGCCTGTGGCAGGAGGGTTGGAACTAGATGATCTTGAAGGTCCCTCCAACCCCAACCATTCTATGATTCCACAAAATGTTTGTCTACTTTGAATCAGTATATCTGCCTTCTTCCTCAGCATTGAGACAGAACAACTGAAGCAGCAAAACAAAAACATAAACAAAGCTGAAGTGGGGGTATTGCCTCTGGCTGGGGGTGCCACACACCACAGCCTGGCCTGGTCCATGTGTGTGCCTTCCTGAAGGCTGTCTGCAAGGGCCCGCTCCAGGGTGGTCCTGCTGGGTGTAAATGACCATTTACACCTTGCTTTGCCTGTGCCAGGATCCCAGGATGGGTGAAGAACTGAGGCAGTTGTGAGGTTCTTGTGCAGGGCAGTGTTCTGTTTCACTTGGCTTATTCTGCTACCTGAAATTGTGCTGAACAACTGCACATCTGCTGTGTTGCGTGAGAACCTCCCTCCACCTCCACTTGCTGAGGCCTCTGACAGCCAACAGACTGGCCTTGTTTCTGCTCACTTCAGCTGGCTTCTGTAAGGAAAAGCAATAAACCCTCGATTTGGCATTTTGTGCTTGAGCCAGTTCAGTGTCCCTAAAGGCCACGCTTCAGCTGAATGTTCAGGCTTGATACTGCAAGAAAGAAGTCACTGAAGCAAAGCAGTCTCCTTGCTTTTCCTGGAGCCAGCCGGAGTGTTTGTGGGGATCTGCGTACAGGTGTGTTCCCTCCCAGCCCGTGCAATGAGTCACACCGATCCCACACACATGCATGCACAAACATGAAAAGACCCATTGTGGAAGTTGGATTTTGAACTTTCCTACCAATGTGTTGGTTTTATTGCAGCTGCTATCTGCCCAATCTTACCAGCGCTTTGGTTGTCTTTTTCTTTCTGATCTGCGCTCTCTGGATTTTTAAGACCACAAGAAACAAACCGTCCCATTTGCCTGTTCTTGTTACATTTGGGGTGGAGATGGAACACTCCAATCACACAGTTCTCCAAAGGAGTGCACAGCCCTGAGGTGTGGTGGTCACGTTGTTTGCTGTGGCTGTGCCTGTACCTGTATTTGCCACCCAAGTGGCATGGGGGAGAAGGGTGCTTGGCCCCTCCTCGCTTTTTATGGCTGCAACTGGAAGCTGCTGGACACCATCTGGATGTCTGCAGGCCTGTCTGTTGTTCTAGTTTTCTTTAAGTCTTCCTTAAAATTAGAAACTCTTCCCTTTGCCTGTGAGGCTCTCGTGGCATTGAGAGACACAGCGGGTGCTTGCTTTGCAAACTGCCTTTTGCGAGTCACGACATCAGTTCTGCCTGAAGTTTTTCCTTGTGAGGTGACACACCTCTCCTTGTGTTATGATTCCCTTGACCCGAAAACTGTGCCAATGAAGCAGCAGATGGCTTTTTACCACTTGTGGTTGTGGGATAATGAAGCAGCAGTACCTAGAATGATTAAGAAAATGTTGGGATCTGACGTGAACCTCCCTTTTGGTGCAGTTCTTCAGTGACTAACAAAATACCAGATGCAGAGCTCCATCGACTGACTGTTTGCCTGTAAAAATACTGTATTCTGTCTCTGGGTTTGCAAATGAGCCGAGGGGTAACAACTGCCACTGTTGCACAGGTGTGATGGGCCACAGCTCTTCTCAGAAGTCTGGTGGGTACCAGAATCTTGAAAGACTGAAAAATTTAATTACGTGAATTGGTTCTGGAGTCAGTTCTGGTCCCAGGCCTGACCAACTGCTGCCTGCAGAGCACTGCACATCACCTCCCTGGACACAGCCCAGGGCAGAAGAGCCTGGCCACCACCTCAGGGTCTAATGAGACCATGCTAACGCCTACCTCTGCCAACTGCTTTCTCATTGCTTTCACACGATCTGTTTTAAGCTTGGGTCTTAGAGCTCTCTTCCCCAGGTGTACAGGGTAAAGACAATATTGCTCTTGCCTTCTCACTGAAAGGGATGGGAAAACACCTCTGCTAAAGGTGGGCTTCCCCTTCCTTCTGCCTGGCTTCTCCTAAAGCAGGGAGGTGAACCCAGCCCCAAGCACTCCTCTCTGTTTTAAGTGCTTCCCCTGCCACGTTCTGCCCTCTGAAGAGACTGGGCTGATGAGGAAGAAAGCAAAACCACTGATGGTGCATGTTACCCCTTCTGCCTGTACCAGCCTGGCTCGCAGGGCTGCTCTCATGAAGCACAGAGCCAACATTTGCCTTTTTAAGAGTACGACTTACATGTGTCTTTCTTGGAGTGAGAAATAAAGCCCAAAAAGCTTCTAGAGGTGGCCAAGATCCAAAGGGCTGGTGCAGGTCTGGAAACCTTCACTGGTCACCTCCCCTCCTCAGAGCTGAGGAGGGAACACTCTCGAGGCAGCACAAGGCAGGCTGCTGTCGTGTCACTGCAGCTGAACAGCAGTTCTCACCTGTGGCACAAGTCCTGTCCCTGCAGGGATGCCACGCAACAGGACCTGCAGCCTGAGCCTGCCTTTGCTAAAGAGGGCTCTGCCTGGGCAGCACTGGAAGGGAGCAGGGATTTAACAGCTGCTCTGACTGAAAGCTTTACTTTAACAGTGCTGTGAAGGCCCTAAATGTGGTGTTTTTGTTTTTGTTTTTTTTAAAAAAGGCAAAAAAAACCCACCATAAAGATAATCAAAAAAGGTGTTATAAAACCACAAGGGAGCTGTTAAAGGTGGATATTGTTTGTGAAAAGAGTTTGAAGTGATGCATACTAAACCGCCGCATGGGAGCAACTGTTAAAAGCAGCTTTAATAAAATCTGTAGTGATTCAGAAAAACAAAACATCTTACACCACTGAAGGTTTCTGGTAGCAGATTAAGCCAAAGTGCCTTTTAGGGGAATGTGGTACTTGAAGCTAAGAAGGTATTTCAGGACTATGTATCTGAAAACACATAACATCACACCACCATTGCCATTTCACCACAGCCTCTCGCAGGGAGACAGGATGAACAGAAAGGGTAAGATCTATAGACACCACTCCCCAAGAAGTAGTATATTATAGTAGTTTCTTGGAGAATACATTCCCCAGGAAGAAAAAAAATAATATATATTACATAAAACATTCTCACATAATAAGTTTTGCATTCTGAAAGTAGGACAAAAAAAGAAGAAAAGGCAAACTGTACAGATCCGTTTCATCCTTAGCTACGGAGGGTCGCTAATCGCGACTGCATCGCTTCAATGTCTTCCTCCTCATCAACAGCAGCGGCCGCTCCCATGGGCTCGGGCTCCGGAAGAGCATCTGTGACTTTACTGGGTGCTTTACCCAAGGCCCCTGTAAACAACACACAGCCTCGTTAGGGTGCATTAAACCTCTGCTTAATAACTGGCAGCTTTCAGGTACAGATATTTAAAATAACTCAACTGTCACTTTTGGCAGAGGTCACACTCAACAACTGTTGGACTTCACCAGCCCTGGTGCAGTGGTGTTGACTTCTCCGTCCCTCCCGAGCCCACAGCTGCTGGTGAGCCAGGGAGGACGGGGCCACTGCTCTCCCTGCCGGCTCCCCCCGCAGCTGCGCCACTCACCTGCTCCCACGGCCCAGCCGGCAGGAAGGGAGCTGCTCCCAGCCAGGCAGCGGGATGGCAAAAAGCAAAGCAGGATGTGGGAAACAAGAGAGGGCAAGGAGCCCGCGGCTGGGCACAAGGCGACAGCAGGCCAGGAGGTGGGGAACTGTGCTTTGAGCGTGCTGCAGCTGAACACAGCTCTGGTGCTCGCATTTGTCACACCGTGTCACAGGAAATTCCGGTGAGGAGCACCCTGAGCGTTACCTACGTCAACCAACGAAAACAGCAGATCGCTGCTTCATCAGCTGCAAAGCAGAAGTTGGGGGTTGGGGCTTGGTTTTAGGGGTTTGTTTGTTTGTTTTGATTTGTGGGGTTTGTTTTTCCCCTCAAACAACTCAAGACACTACCAGCGTTTCGCAGCCAGGAATCACACACATCACCTAAAGACTCAAGGCAATGCAGCCGAGTTATTCCCTGGCTCGTTACTCAGGGTGTATCCAGTTAACCACACAAATTTCACCTTGCTAAGAGGACCCACCGTACAGACAAACACTGACCTGTCCAAGCCTCAATTAGAGCACTGCGGCGACACCACCTGATGAATTATTACTTATGCTTTACTGAACCGCACCGGCCTTCTCAGCCAGTATTCCCTGGGAAACCAGTTTGTCAGAGCACGCTCTGCCTCTTGGCAAAAGCAAAGACACCATGGGGAGGGCGCAGCCGAGTCAGAACAGACGAAGGTTTCAATGGCTGCGTGTCACTGAACAGAGCAGGGTCAGGGCTCCACCCTCAGCAAACACACACAAACTCACCAGCGGTAATTTCAAAGAGGATTTTGTCAATTTCCATCTCTGCTTCCTCTTCCATTTCCTCCTGATCCTCCAGGCTTTCAAAGGTGTCTTCCAGCATTTCCTCTATAATACCAGCCTAGCAGGAAACAAAAAGGCAGCGCGTGATGCCCTTGGAAAGGGCAAAAAGCACACACCTCCTCCTTTTGAGATCAGCTTACGTCTACCCAGGCGTTTAACAACTGCTGCCGCCGCTCGAGCGTTCCGGATCAAGGTTACCCTCTCGCAGGAGGGTGGCCAACACACCTGCCTACAGTTTAAGCACGTATCTGTGCAACTGGTGCGCAGGAAAAGCAGCGAGAAAACTGAGGATTAAATACATGTTCTCACTTCGAAACTCTCAAGCTATTATTCCTTGTTGTGGCACGTCTAAATGCCAACATCCCAGCTCGCTCCACGTTTGCAGCTGTATTTCACATGCTTCAGTCATGAAGCATAAATTGTGTAACACGCTGTAAAAATCAGTGTTTGAAGCAGGTTTCCTTTTTTCTGCATGAGAAAACATCGCTCTGCAGGGCCTGCAATCTGGATATGACCGAATTGTTCTGGTGCACAGTGGTAAAATTATTAGCAAGCTGATTTGACCTAAACAATCTAGAGTGGTAAGCGAGGGAAAGCAAAACAATTTTGGTAGTTGAAAATAGCCGCAACAGAGAATGAGTATATGTTAAAATAAAAGCACTCTCATCACAAGAAGATGCTATGCTGGAGGTTTTAAACCCAGTGTCACAATAGCCATGTTGCCTACGACGGGATTTTCAGCTTCCCACTCCACAACAGGCTGAGGTGGGTCTGTCTTAATGAGCTTTTTCATCCCTGGAAGCAGGAAATTCCATTTCCCCCAGAACAGACAGAAGCTCGGGGATACGGGCAGTCCCTGGGCGCAGGTGCAAACCCTGCTTCGACCCCCGGGCTCCCCCAGCCCTTGGGACTAGGATGACCAAGCTGTAACCAGCCCCGTACAAGGACTGGTCTTCCTTCTTCCATCCTCAGTCTGAGCAGCTTTTTTTGGCTTTAAGCTTTACACCAAACGTGCTGCAGGTATCATCGAGTTAGGAATTTCCCCACAAACAGTAATTTGCTAGAAAGTCCCCAGCTATTAATGTGCTACTTCAACTTCTGTTTGTTAGAGCTCACACAAGCCTTCTGACAAAGTGGCCACCTAAGCGGTTCCACAGCATCCTAACAATCACCTCTTGTTCACCCAAGTCTTGTTTCTGTTATAGATCTTACCTTCATCATCTCTTTGGACAACTCCCTCATCGTTGCTTGGATTTCAGGGATTTTTACTAGATTTTGCATAGCTTTCATGACTTCTGTGCTCTTCTGCAATGACCCTGCTACTCTCAGGACAGCTGTGAAGGAGAGGCATAGAAAAGCTTGAACGATCCATGCACCACTGAAAGCAGAGAAATTACATCCCCCCTACATGGATAGAAATTTGTTTACATTTAGGTAATTTAATTAAAAAAATGAATTTATTTCCTGTTTCTTCATTCTTGTCTACCTTCCTGGAAAAGCTCAATTTCTACCCATATCAGGAAAAAATAAGTTTCTAGCAAAGATACTGGTCCTATACGATTACCTGGAGCAATCCAGATTGCCTGCAGATATTTCAACCCACCTGCACTCCAGTTCATAAAGAGAGATCCCTGAGGAACTCCTGCCGGTGCCCCTCAGGAGCCAGAGGTCTTGCTTTACCTGCAGAGCTACAGTCCAGCCCCATGTCTGACTGCTGACCAAACTAGTGACCTTCTGCCCGACACTCGGGAAGTTTTAGTGCAATACTTTCACACCAAACAGTAAGCTAGAAAATTAATACTGAAGCAGACAAGCTTGAAATAAGTGCAGTTTAAACTGAACTTAAAAATACTTTTTCCAGAGGCTATTTTCATAATATAGCTTCTAAACTCTTCTCATATATGTTGATATACCAGGAACAAAATTTAATAATTCAGGGTACTTTGAGGTTCTTGAATTGTCCCATCTAACCTCACAGCTTCCTCGTCATGGAGAACTTACCTGTTTGTACATAAAATGGTCACTCCTTAACGAAGCAAAATGAAGGTACAGCATATATTATTTTTCATTTTAATACTCAATTTCTTTAAGAACATTGCAAGTGTAAGTTTAACAAACTAACTGAAATCATGCCTTTAGCAGTCATTTCCCAAGATGATGGGAATACAATACGAGCCCCAAACTGAATTCTAGATTCCTTCCCGTTGCTCAGGCAAGCTATCAGAACATTCCGAGTAAGATGAGGATGCTGGCAGCAGTAATACAGAGGAACCAGCTTTGAGTTTTTCCCTTTAAAGGACACCTCAAGCTGCAAGGACGGCCCCTGCTTCCCTTTCCTGAAGGAGGTACATGGGGAGCCACATTCAACCTGTTGTAAGGTTACACTTAAGGTTCACATTGTGACTCCTGATTTATCACTCGTCTGATGTTAAAATCTATCTAGCTTGGATAATGCTGGGGTGGGGGGAATACTTTGACATTTCAGTAGCATGTTAACCTCCACTAAGCCTTTCCCTGTCTTTAATGGTTTCTGCTCTGCTCTTGTTTCAGGCTAAAACACTCTAAGTTACGGAAAATACTGCAGGAAATCTTTTACAAGGGATTTCTGATGTGGGTAAGGAATGAGGGAAATACGCAAGTACTGAAGGAGTACAAAGGACCAGGCAGGGTTTAGAGAGAGATAGGTATTAAGCCACAGGGCAAATTGATTTATCCACACCAAGGAAACCAAGCACTGCCTCCCCATCTCCATTTAGGACTTCGTAAGCATCCCAAGACTCTTGCTAGAAAAACAGTAATTTATGAGAAGGGAATTCTACTGAAGAAGATAACCCTCATGTTACAGATCCTGTCAAAATCAGTAACAACAGGGATATTAGGCAGCATTCAAACAGTTTAGAAACACACACTAAAAACATGCCCCAAATTACTGGAAGAGAGTTCTGCTTCAGAGCACGTGAAAATCACATCAGTCAACCCTCAGGCTCTGAGGAGAAGTGTTAGACTATCAGTTGAGCAGCTAACCAGAGGAAACACAGAGAGCCATCAAGAATCTAGGGAACAACGAGGGGTAGGAACTCCAGGAAGATAACTGGGAGCTCCTTGTCTACTCCAGAGCCCAGGGTGGGAAACCCTGCCAGACAGGACAGTGGGGAAACAGTCTCCAGAACATCCTGCAGACTGAAGGTTATTGCCTACAGGGATACAGGACTCACTGCAGGATGCAAGAGAAAAGAGCATGTTTGGACTCAGGAAAAACTTATTACAGATCTCTTAAGGGGATTGCAGGAATGTGACTGAACATGAGAAACTTACTACAGTATGTTTAGGGGAAGGGCCAAAGGTAAAGAATGGGAGGGATCGAGGTGGATCAGGGAACACACAAACCTCAGAGGCCTACAGGACCAGGTACCAGCAGCTCAGACAGAGGAAGAGATCTGGGGCCAGTTACCAAATAGCTGGCCGGCTTAGGCTGAGCGTCTGAGAGCAGTTACTGGAACAACCTTGTATTGTGCATGTGTATATACATCTATATATCTATATGTGTTCTACTAGTGGACCTCAGTCCTAATCAGCTGAAGAGGAAGACCAGGATTGAGCTGTCAGTGCTGTTCATGTTTGTGTGAAAGCTGCGTGTGTTTACATGGGTGCTAGTAAAGGCACTGCTGTGACTGTGCCTACTGGGAACAGGTGCTCAGCCTGGATGGATGTGGGAATGTGGAACTGCAGCAGCCTCACACCTTTGGGCCTGCTACAGGAGGAATTTCCCAGGGTCCTGAAGCCCACTGGAATCAGCTGCCTTTCACAAGAGTAGGACTGCTTCCAAACTCAAGCTCTGCCTGCATTTGACCTTGGTTCTCAAAACTGAAACTCAGACCTCACCTCTACAGCTAGAGGAGTCATGGCACTTCGGCTCAGAAGTAGTTCTTACCAAGCTGGTTCTTCATCCCCATGAGGACAGAGTTCATGTGAGCTTTGGATGCATAGAGTTTGCTTACGGCCTTTCGAGAGCGGATCAGTTCCTTCGCCAAGATCACACACACATCCTTCTGACCCTTTTTGGCAGCATCCTTTATTGACCGCTTCACCTTCTCCTCTTCCCTCTGGATATCTGGAGTACAGACAAACAGCAAATAGTGACAAACCGCTAAGGATTTGGAAGAGAAACCAGTCATTTGTTCGAGTGTATTTTCAACACAAAGAATCGTTTCTTCTTGATTTCGGATGCCTTGTTCCTGAAAGAGCTTGTTCTAGGCTGATTTACATGTTAGCTGATTAATGCAAGTAAATATTAATAGGCAAATTCTTATCACTAAACATTCAGCTCTGTAATTTCCTTTGCAGCTAAGAGTACTGCAAAGGACTGTTGAAGAACATCACTGCATGAAGCTGTGCTGACTAAGATGAATCCTTAAGAGGCCAAAAAGGACCAGTAAGAACAAAGCACTCTGAGATGACTACTTGACTTACAACTTCAGAATAACTTCCTGACTATTAAACTGGCCTGATGTAAATATATACATACATACACACATATATAACAAACACACACAGTTTACGACTACTGTACTGATTCGCTGCTTACAAGATTACCTCTTCTGTGTTCATCACAAGATAGCCCCCCTTCACCAGGAAGGAACCAACTTGTCACATGAAGTTTAAAACTAGTAGTCTCAGAAGACAGGCAGTTTACTAGCAGAAATACTTACCTGTCAGACTACATTCAAAGCTTAATCCATATGCCCACCTGCAAGTGAATTGGAGGGCTGTTGTAGGCAAAATTGTCCTCACTGTTTCTAAATCCCTGAAATGTGTTTTTCTGAACAAATACATTCAGAAAGATTGTAGAAGGCCGATTTCACAGAGGCTAGAAAGTTTTAGATATACACTGCCTTTTAAAAAATAAAGTAACCATTTATACAGTAAATTTGTCAGGGTACTTGCACAACTTTAAGAGTTACTTAGAACCTTGCATTTGTTAATTACTGAAAAAAAAAAAGTCTTCATCATTGCAGATAGACATAATTATTCCCCTCATCGGGCACAACTCATTGAGCCTCAACTGGATACCTGGACAAGTCTATACTTGTACTCGAGGAGTTACGGTCTTGAGTTTATACTGCTCATACTTTAAGACATGTGAGTTAGGTGTTTGTATAAAACGGCACGTTGAAACTATAAGCTGGCTGGCTGGCGCCCAAGTTATGGATAATTTATCAGTGAAAAGAAGGATGCTGGTAAATCGTTAGATATAACTTAACATGGCCTGTTCAAACTCTCCTGGTATCGAGCTTCATTCAATAGCTTTTATAAGAGCATGCTGGAGCAGGAGTACTGAACTAAGCCTGTACAAAATGAGCACCAAATAGCTGAATTTGAAATATTATACACTAAACAGGCTTCCTTAAATAACATAGGTTTCTCCAGCAAATCTGGGGTGACTGTTCACACATCTGCCTTGTCAGGTAATTCTGGCTGCGTACAGCAGAAGCCAGGTACCTCAAAAAGCTCACAGTAAGAAACTCAGGAACAAGGAGGGGCTATAGCAACCCCCTTCCTTTTCCACTCTCAGCAATAAATTAGTCACTGATGAAATGCGGATCTAAGAGTCCGCGAAAAGACTATTCTAAAGTAAATAAAGAATTCTGATAGTAAGAGTTAAGCTCACCTCACCTTCCCACAAAGAGCTGAATGAAATGACCACAGGAGCAACTATTTCTAGCAAAGGCTTTGTTAAAATTTGGTTTTGTTTGAGTTCTCTTGATTTATACCAGACAGAAGTTACATGTAAGCAAGAATCGGAAGTTGCCCTTTCATAAAAACAAAGGCATTAATGCACATTTTTCGGCACCGGCCAACCTGGAGACTTCAACGCAGCTCCTCACATGGGAGTTAATGAACCCTGGACTCAAGATGAGTCATTCTCTCAGTATCATTTAATGGTGTCTGGATCCTAAAGGACTGGCAGAAATACATAGGATCGTCATCAGAAAACATACTCCTTGCTGCTTCCCCACTTATCTGCAGAAATGTCACAAGCTTGAAGACGTCTGTGTGTCCGACATGGGAGCGAGCCAGGTCCCAGCATATCAGAACAGGTAAGAAACAGCTGAGGCAGTACAGCAGAAAACAGAAAGCACCAGGAATACTCCAGCAGTGCCAAGGAATTATGACATTCACTTTGTCAGGCTAAAAACAACCACAAGCATTGCGTTACTATATCCACACTAGGGTAGTGGGGCCCCTTACTCAAGTGAATGCTTTCACTTGCATGACAGACTGCTGAGTGTGAGATTAGTGGTACAAAATATGCACGAATGGTCAACTCCACTTTTGAAGGTCAATGCCAGCTATGCGCCTCTTGTGAGCCAAAGTCACTACACCCATTCCCTCTGCAGCAGTACCAACCACAACAGAAGCACAAAGCAGTCCAAAGCACTTGTGGGTGGGCCGTGCAAGCTCAGTAACGCACAAAGTTACTTATTACTCCAACTATATTAACTCGAAAAATACATTTCTGAAGTCACAAGGACACCTTTCCTTTCCTCGAACCTTCCAAGCCCTCAAAAGCAACCTACACCGAACAGAAATCATGACAGTACACAACAGTCCAACAACAGATGGTCTGAAACAGCGTGTTGCTATATTAGTAACTGCGCCGACTGGGTGAGCCAAGCGTTCAAGCGATCTGAGCCCACTCACTCAGCCCCAGGTGGACCTGAGTGTTGCTGTATCAAAACACATCTAACACAGCCTTCCCCAGAAAAACTCAGACAGGTGCCAGCTCAGCATCCTCACTCAAAGACTGCGGCAATTTCCTGTGTAAATCTCAGTTTAAATGATAAAGCATGGCAGAATCCAACTACAGTGGGTAAATTCTGAGAAAACCTTTAGTGGCACGGGGCTGTCATCTTTCAGCAGTAGCCTGCTAGCCTGGTAAGAGTCCAGCAGAACCGCATTTTTCCACGTCTGACACTTGGTAAGATCTGAAATCCTAGAACGATATGGGCATTACAAAGATATTCTGTACTTCATTTTAATTGGAACTATCAGAATAACAGATGGTTGGTGGTTAGTCTAAGCTCTTACGTGCTGAACCATATTTCTTTGAATGTAACACTCTGAAGTACAAACAAAGACATGTTTAGAGCTGTTACAACAATTAGATTTACATCCACATCAAAGTATTAGACTACCACATAACTCAGTACCTATATAGGCCATTAGAAGTATCATAGCATGCATAAAGTTGAGAGAAAATCAAGATTTCAAGAAATCATCCACAGTGAACACATGGGTAGTTTGCTCCCGTGGAAGATGCGACCTCTAAAGCACACTTTGCTAACAAGATCAGCCACGTTTCGGTTGCTGTGTGCCCGATACAGCAATATAAAGTGCCTCAGAGGATGCAAAACAATTCACAAGCATAACGAACATCACTGTACATCAGTTTTCCTGGAAGAGGCATAAACCCTGTTCCTCATTTTACAGACGAGGACAAAGACAGACTTTGTACCACACGAGCGCCTCTCTCCCATCAACACATACAAATCTACAAGTGGGAAAACACACGGACCTTGTCAGCTTACTCCAGAAGTGTGGGGCTGGGGAGGAAAGGCGGAAGGGAAAATGTACTCCTTGAGTCCCTCAAAACAGGCATGTGCCTAATAATCAGATGCTGACACAAAATATCCTTTACCAACACATCCCAGGGACCAACCTTGAGGACAGAGTAGAAGACAAAAAGGGGAAAATAGAATCTGCCCCAAACCTATTTTCAGATTCTGGGAAAGAGGGCTGAAGAGAGAACAAGAAACTGAACTAGCGGCAGTGTACTAACGAGCAACTCCTCCGCTTTTCAAGACCTCTTCAAAAGTGTAATGCCCAGAAGTCAATAGCAAAACATGCACTGAGAAAAGTCTTTTTCTTTATTCCCCTCTCTCCTGTCTGAAATTTTCCCAAGCTGACAGCTAGCTACTTTTGTTTAGCATCTGCACTTCATGCCAACACATACCTGTGGAGCTTTCTACACATGGAATTGCATGCCTCACTGATACTATTCATTAAAACTATGTGGGTGAAGTTCTGGATAAGAAGTCTAATTCATCTTATCAAATGGGACTTAAGAGCGTTATGTCTTACTGGAAGCCTAAGGTATTCAGGTTCTTTCGAAAATTTTACATAGAGAACGTCACAGCCATGTCATTTTGTAACACTGATTAAGTCTGGCCTCGGGATCAAATTCATCTTCCTTTATTCCAGATGTGATAGAGTACCCCAGGTTATTAGATTTCACAGCCTCCTCTAATTAAAGCAAAAAGACTTGAAGGCAGACAGCAAAAGGAAAAACTAAAACTGAGACATAAGTACAAACCTCTGATCTGTCTATCAACCACTCTCATTTCTTTCCTTATCTTCAAGGACCATTCATTGACCTTAAAAAGAGAAAGTGAGAGTTAATTGAAATTCCAACTTTAAAACTATGCTTTTATACTTTCATATAACTTAACCACTCAATACCAAACGAAGCACTTGAAAACGCACAAGCTTTAAGGTACGAGTGATATTTAAACATTTCATTATTCAAATAAAAAACCCCGACAAAACGTTGCAGAGATACCACCAATTATTACACTCCTCTTAACGCACAGACGAAGGGTCAAGGAGGACATGACCTGTGAACCAGGGATGCTCGCTGCCTGGCTAACTTCCCACGTCACACGTGTGCTGCTGTGCTGAGGGAACGTGCTGCAGGGGATTTCAACATGAGGTAGAAACTTTGGCCCAGGATGACAGCACCAAGAGCGCTACTACCTGTTTCAGTCAGAAGGAACTCCAGGCGGTCTCCAAGTCAACCTCCTACTCAAAGCAGGACAAAGTTCAGAGTTCAGACAGGTTGTTTGGGAGCTCATCCATTGAATTTTGAGACTGTCGAAGGGCAGAGACCTCATAGCCACTCTGGGCATCTGTTCCAGTGCTTGATCACTCCTGCAGTGAAGACCTTTCCTCATGTCTCATTCAAAATTCTCCTCTGGCCACTTGTGGCTGTAGCCCATTTCCTGTCACTGGGCACACCTGAAAAGTATCTAGCTCACACCTGAAAAGCTAGCTCTGTCTTCACTACAACCCTGTTAGATGCACTGAAAGGCTTTAGACCCTTGACCTTTCACCTTCCCTTCTCCAAGCTAAAATGAGCCCAGTTCCCTCAGCTTTTCCTCCTGTGTCATGGGCTCCAGTCCTCCATCACCTTGGTGGCCCTCTGCTGCGCTCTCCCCACTTTGTTGATATCCTTCTTGCATGGGGTGTCCAAACTGGGACACTGCTTTGCAGATGTGGCCTCATTAATGCCGAATGAAGCACAGTAATCGAACAACCATTTGCCTCAACTTCACTAACGCAGCCCAGTTTGCCCTCATCGCTGCGAAGGTGCGCTGCTAACTCATGTTTATTATCCAGGGAAAGCCCAGGCCCTTTCCTGCAGAGCTGCTGCCCAGTCAGCCCCAGGCTGCACATCGCTATGTGCAGGGATGGTTGTCCCACATACATAACCCTGCATTGCTCAACATCAGGAGGTTCCTGCTGGCCCATTCCTCTCGCTTGCTCAGGTCCTTCTACACAGTAGCTCGGCCCTCCAGCTTCCCTTCCCCTGCATTTGGTGGGATTCAAACATAGCCACCCTCTCTACAGCTTCTCCCCGGGACCCTCCAAGATCTCTCTATTCCAGCACTCCTGGGTTCCCCAACACAGGGCGCTGAAGGAGGTGGGGAACACCACTTGCCCTGACCACCTCTCTGGGAAAGCAGAGACATCAGTGCCAGACATCCAGCTGAGAACTGGGAGCACTTATGGCAAACAGAGAGGCAGAGAGGGGCTGTACAACACCAAAATTAAGAATCGGGAGATAATACTAGCATACAAACAGACGGCCAAATGCTTGTGGAGCTCTGATGCTACTTTTATTAGCAGCAGCATAGATTTTGCTCAATATCTAAAAAAAAACCCAACCAAAACCAACCCCTAAGTATTAAGATGATCTCTAGTTTGTGAATCTACTCACATGCTGTACACGTCAGTGCACAGGTCACTCAAGAAGTCTAGTTGGCTGCATGAATAGTTTCATATGAAAATCATCCTGATTTTTGTGTGATTTTAATTCAAATTAAAAGCTTCGTCTACCCAAATAAGCTTTATAACAGAACTGTAAAAAGAGTGCTCTTCAGTGCACGAGCCCAGCACAGCACGACAGATTCTTAGACTTTTACCAGCATCAAAAGAAACGTTCTCAGTCATTGTGAACAAGACCATGTTTTGACTGCAGACAACAACCACCATCTGAGTTGTCCAAGCACAAAGTCCACTGAAAAAAAACCAAACGCCCTACAGAGCTCTGTGCATACACATTATGGGTGTGCAGAAGTTTTGAAAAGGTTTCAGAAAGCTCCTGAACCTTTAGTTGGATCCTGTTTTATTACAGGAAAAACACAACCAACAAACCCTTGCAGGACCAACTGCAGCCTCCCCTCTTGTTCTTTAGAACAGGGCCAAAAAATTCCATGTAGATTCATTCCTCACCCTGGTAAGAGGCTAAGAAGGTCCCTCTATAGTCAAAACTATACCTACACTAGAGGGAGAAAAGTCGAGGGAAGAACTGAGGTAAAGCATGATTGAACTCTGGTCAGCCAACTCTCATGTCTCAAATGTAAGATCTTTCAGATATTTGCTCTAAAAAACTTATATTCTAGAACAAACCAACACGCATTAAGCCTTCATGTACAAGCACAATCGGCAACTGTCAAAAGAACTGCAGCAGGATTCACAGGTTCTGTCTCTTTGCCCAGCACAAAGACACCATTAAACCACGACTGGCCGTATGTTGTCATCGATCCCTGCTAACTGAAAGCAGAAAACTCTTTGATAGCTTATCCCCAACACTGCTCAGGAATAAACTGCTTCACACGACTGTCCTCATAAAGGCAGAGATGAGTGCTTCTTCATTCCCTGTTCTTCCCAACACTCATCACTGGTTTTGTGTATAGGAGGAGGAGGAGGAAATCCCATTGATTCGCATCCAGAGGAATGAGAACATTTCCAGTTACATCAGACATGGCAATTCGTTGAGCAGTAACAAAGCTGTATTGCTGATCTCACGCAGGGCACCAGGGATATGGCTACGAACCACAGCACAATGCAGCAGAGGTAGCAATGCTGAGAATAGAAGCACTTTGGTTAACTAAGAAAGGCTAATTACCCCAAGCACAGCTCCATGCTGACAAAGCTGTTCTGCTTCCAGTTCTGAGGGAAACAAAAATATCATTCTCACAGCACCACATCACACTGAAGAGTCAGACAGCAAAACCCCACACTGAAATAAACCACCCAGACTACACTGGAGGAAACCCACTTTTTAAACTCAAACGATCCAGAAGTGACATTAAACGTATAGTGGATCCCCAGGTTTAGACAGACTGAAATGCATCACTAACTCCCCAAGGACTGAAGACGTTTGCCTTGTATCATTCACAAATAAGTCTGCTCCTATCGACAGACAGTGAGCATACAAATGAACTCTGGGCAAATCACTGCCACCACAAAAATCCCAACCTTTTCCCATCATTAGCCACCTCCTGCAGTGCTCAGATTGTTTCCTCTAGCCCTACTCAGGGACAGTATCTCGTCTACAGCTGCTGGCAGATGTGAGGTAAGAGGTGCTTTTCCCCCTATCGTCTAGTAAGCAGAAACAACAACTTCCTTCTAAAGCTGCACAGTTAGATACAGGAGGAAAGAAACTTCTTACTGTTAATGAGTTTCTCAACATCACTGTTACAGCCTGTGAAGTCATCATGCCAGCCTGCAACCCAAGAGCGTGCTCATGACAGCAAGATCACCCAAGTCATTTCCCCCTATGGTTCAGGCATGCCTGTTTTCTAGTGCCTTTGCATGCTTTTCCGCAAACAGCTCAAAAATGATCCATAGACACGCTGTATTACTGGAAAACACGGCTAGCTTGTCGGTTATGGAAGCGGAAAGAGCGGTCACTGGACATGAAACAACAAGAACTTATCAGTGCAGTATAATCTCATCGTGTGGGCTCAACAGTTGTCTGCTGCTTTATCCCACCATCAAGAGCAGCAGTCTCCAAATCCCATTTCTCTGTGGAATCTTCCAACATTGCTCATGAATGGAGGAAACTACAACCAGCCTGCATGGTGCTCTGACACAGGCAGAGGAGGAAGGGAAAGTACACTATCAAAAGTAGATTCCTTATCTAACGCTATCACTCAGCAATTGAAGACTACAGCCCCCTCCCCTGGGACCTGGTTGCTACAAAGCAGCAGGGAATATTTGTGACGCTGCAGCTCTTCTACATCTTCAACTTCAGTGTCTGTCATCTGCTCCCTGTTGCTTTTTTAGTACCTCTAATGGATTTGATCTTTCTCCCCACGAAAAAGCAGATTTTGTTATTAACACATTAGCAGCGATTTATGAAAGGCAACAGTGAAATCAATCAGTATCTCAACCATTTCATTTCACTGTGACATTAGAAATCTGGGGTTGGAGGCGAGACTTACACAGCTGGCCTGCCGAGTCAAGAAAACCACC